CTAGGTTGGTATCCTAGGTAATAGGATGTCGGATGGTTATGGACGATAACCCTCTGTTTGTCTTCCTGTTGTCTGTGGGTATCGAGTTTGGTGGTGGCAAGCCGCCAAGACCCGTGAAAACTCTGCCATTCTGGCGGCGTTGAGGACGACGTTTCCAAAGACGACCTCTAGCCACGACGCAACGCCGCTGCACCAGTAATGAACGTGATTCTCACTCTCGTACGGGCCTTGCGGTTCGAACGAGACGGAAAGGAACGCCCGTACGACAATACGGGTCGAATCACGATTTTGATGTTCCTTAAAAAAAGCAGCTATATTTATCGGGGTTAAAATTCTTTAGCTATATATCCTAGATATTGTTCGTTATAGCTTAATAGATAAGCGTTGGAGAAAGTGCCGTATAGTCTGCGCAGATAGCTGCTACTACTGTAATCCACTCTCTATTTCTATCCTAGATAATATTGCGCATTCTTCCTAACTTAAAGGTATTCCTGCTAAAGATCCTTCTCTTCTTCTTTATCTAACTAATAAAAAAGCCCTTCTTATCTATATTCTAGGTATTTCCTAGCTATATATTATATTCCTGCATTTTTTGTCCTAAGAGTTTAAAGTAGAGGCTGTAATACAGCGCTGAATTAGCTCTCTTCCTTAATTTGTTAATAGGAAGGAGGTATCCTAATCTAAGGTGTTTTGAATGCTGTTTAACCCAGCGCGAAGCCCAGTTAATTCCTGGCATAATCCCAGCTATTACTAAGGCTAGATTTCGCACCATTTAATGCGTAGGAGGAAGCCCCCTTTCAGATAGGTTGTTGATGTATTTAATAAGAGCCTTGGACTGCCCAGGGGTGAGAACCTGTTGAGAATTGTATCCATCTGCCTTGCTACCAGTTTTCCCACGGAAGCGCTTGGAGAGGGTGCTTCTGTCAACCCCATGCTTGTCGGCCATGGCCTTGATGTTCGTTTTCTCTTGGAGGTGAAGCTCCACGATTGCAGCTTCAATTTTATCCATTTTTAATAGAAATCTGTTGAAAATTGGTGGAGTTGTGGGGTGTGGAAGAATAAGCGGTGAGGGGTGAGAAGCGTGCACGAGCCCGTAGCGTGCACGAGCCCGTGATGACTTCTATCATTTCTGTACTTCTACTAGCTTCTCCACTATTCCATCCCAGCTACCGTAGACCCAATCCCATTCACCTGTCCCACCCCCCTCTTCCTTTGCCCCATCCGCATCAAGCCTTACTCCCGTAGCCTCCCGTAGCCTCGAACCCACCCGCACCCCCGTGACTCATCTAAATAAGCGTCTCCACCTCCCCCATTTCTACTATAAAGCAACCCTCTCTTTCTCTCTCACACTCCTCATTAGAGTCAGCGTCCAGAAGCTTCAAGTACTCCAAGCGGACCATGTCATGGCCAGCGGAGGAGGATGGGTTTGGGCAAGAGCTATGGTCGTCGCCCATGGTAGATTGCAAAATCACCAAGGAAAACACAATGGCAGCGTGGGACTAGCAAAAACTAGCACCCATCGCCCTGATGGGTGTAAAACTAGTTGTGCGCGGAGCTGATGGTGGGGGAGGGTGGTGGGTGGTTCAACATTGATCCTCGCGCGAGTCCATGGAGTTGGTTGGGGTGGGGTGGTGGTTGGGGCATCTAGGGTGGTGATGATGGAGGTGAGTACCACGGAACGCTGAGCGTGGGCGTGAGTAGCTCTCAGGGAGGGTGTCTCTGAGTTATTGGCAATACTGGTTCTAGTGCTCTTTGGAGCAAGCGGAAGCTGTTCATCACCACCGCCGCCTGGAGCACCTCCACTGCTCCTCCACACCACTGCCATTGGCTTGACCAGACGCCAAGTTTGCTGATCCCCCAACCCCATGGGATGGAGACGTGCTCATTTTTGCTCCTCCACCCAGCCATAGCGGCGGACTTCTTGGTTGTTGATCCCACACACACATTACAAGGTTTGCCGCCGACTGTTCAAAGGCCCTTGCTCCATTCGCCGAACAACTGTGCGGATTTTGCAAGCCGACACCTCCTCTCCATAATGTTTGTCTTGCTGGATCTTTGCAACCGGCCACCTCCTCATGTCCCTTCCTTGCCAGAAAGTAGCAGGACCTCCGAGCAAGAGGATTTTATACCTCGCAAAGTCCACGCTAATGCCTCGATCACGCGGCTCCCGTGACTCTCTAGACCCATGTGGGTCTACGATGGAGCCTTCTAGATTCCCCCTGCGTCGTTGGACTACTGTCGAGCCTTTAATACCCGCCTCAGCCTACAACAGCGCATCAATCATTACGCTTCCACCTCCTTCCCTTAACACCATATCCGCTCTCAGGCGCCCAGCCGCCCGCCGTCGAGCCCCCAGCTCCTGAACTTCTCCTCCACAGGGTATATAAACCCCCTTCCTCCCCTCAACCTCCAGGACAGGAAAGAGGAGGAGGAGGAGGTGGCGGAGTTCGTAGTTCCACAAAACGTCCTGCCCAGCACGCAGATGTCCCGATCAACACTGCAAGCTCGACCACCTTATGCTCTGAGCGGGAGAAAGGGGGGCCCCATCGACCGCATGTACCTCTTACGTGTGCAAAAACCGCATTTGCCGAGCCCTATGGTGCGTGTGTTGGTGGATCAACAGCAAATAGGGAGACCGGAAATGGAGGATTGACACACGTTGGCCAGGCAGCGGCGATGGAGTGGGGGCGGAGGGGTTTGGGGGAGCAAACACGTCTTGCAGAAGGCGTTGATGGGAGGTTGTGGGTGTTTGTGTGTGCTTTGTGGGGAATGGTGGTGATGATCGCGGAGGGCGTGTGGAAGTGCGGTGCCGCATCTGTCTTTTCTACTACACTTCTTTACCTTCAAACATCCTAGACTACTACCGAAAGAGAGTATGGATAGTAACCACCATCACATCCAGCCCTCCCCCTTTCTCCACCATGTTTCCGCACGACGCCAGTTGGTTCCACACATCACAGCATCCCCGCCGCTCTTTTGCACAATTGCACAAATACAAACACTCCCACACAGCCATGAACTTCAGCGTGGCGATGTTTTGCTCCCCAGGACACCACTCATCGGCTGGTGTAGCACGCTTTGTTAAACAAGGCACATGCGGGATGGACGGCGACCTTTTGATAACACTAACCCAGCTCTCTTCCACCACCGAGTTGCCTATGTCGAGATCCAAGACTTGATGAGGGGGGATTTATATACCTGCTAAAGAACTAAAATAGCGCTAGATTAATAGATCACGGGGGAGGCACGGCTGCTTTCTAGGTAGTTCTAGATGGGCATGAAGAGGGCCCCCCGGACGGTGTTAGAGAGCTGCTGCAAGCATGCCGTTTTTGCAGCCAAACTTTATCTAAACGTTCCAGCTCTTTACAGTCGAATCCTATTCCCAGTCCCCTCGTCAAAGTACCCCCCCGACAGCGCCGGAGAGCTATAGACACAACGATGTTCCACAGCTTTATTTCCGCTTCCAGGATCTCTACATCTTGTGCTAATCCGCCATGATTTACCGAAGTGCTTCAGACGTTGCTGTAAGGGCGTAAACACTATAGTTCTGATATCAACTTAATCTGAAGAGGCCAGATGTGGACATTGTGTCTGACTTGAAGATGCAGTGAAGAGGCACCCTAGACGGCGCGACAGGACCAGCAGAACGTGAGTACGCCGCCTCTGATATAGGAGGTGGAGGTTAGCATATCACGTGATCTTATTCCCAATCTCCAACTCGTTACATCTTATCCTGCTTTTGTACGAGGTTATGGGGGACTTCAGATGGTAGCAGAAGTGGTGCAAAAGGAGAGTAGATACGGCCTATTGGAAAAAGTCATGTTTCTTGTATCACGTGGTCTGATATACGATGTCCAATATATTACATCCAATCCTGACTTGTTACAGTGAACTGTAGGACTTCAGAAGGTAGCAAGGCTCAAGCAAAATGTAAATATACCCTATCTACTATGCGAGGTTCTCACCAAGATATCACGTGCTCTAATATAACCCCTTCAACTCATTACATCCTATCCCGACATTTAATAGCACGCCAAGCCACCTCAAACACCATCAAACGAGTATCAACAGTCTCAATTCCAATCTTCCATTATCTACACAACACCCCCAAAACCACCCCAAGCACTCCCAACCTCCCCTACTCCTCCCCTTCCCACCCCATCCTCTGCCCCACGCACCCAAAACTGCACGCCCGCCTCAAGAACGGGAAGAACCCCGCCGTCACGTCCTCAAAATCATCGACCCGGAAGTACTCCACCCACTCCGCCCTCGGCACCACATACCCCCCTCCACACACCGAGCACCCCCGCAAAACCGACCCACAGTCCGCCCGATTCTGCGCCGCCAGCGCCACCGCACGCTCAATTCCCGGCGCCAAGCCAGCCATCTCCTCCACAGCCATCACATCGAGAGCCTTCCTTAGCGAGAGTTCCAGCAGCGACGGCACGCGGGAGCAGTCTGGCGCCCTCAGCTCCGGCCAGAGCGGCTTGCCGACAGCGCCGAACTTGACCGTGTGGACGGTGGCGGGCAGGAACGTGCAATCTGGGGGCAGCTGGGACGGCTGCGGCGGCGAGCCCTTCAGATGGCGGCCGTCGGCGTGAAAGAGTGCGGGTGGTGTTGCGGCGATGAAGCGGAACCGGATGTCTTTCCAGGCGTCCGACGGGTCTGCTCCCTCGGTGTAATATGCGTCTTGTTGCGCCTTGTGGATGGCGAGGGTCTGCTCCTGGTCCTTCAGCAGCCAGGCCAGGCTTTGGGCCTGGTCTGGATCCTCTGCGGCCTCCAGGGCGGCGAGGAGGTCTGGATGGGGCTTTTTGTGGAACTCGGCTTCCAGCGTCGTCAGCAGCTCGAGATGGGCGTTGTGGTCGAAGTAGGTGCCCTCCAGGAACGGGTTTCCGGTCAGGATTAGCTTCATTCGGCTTCCTGTGACGCGCAGCAGGCGTGAGAGCTCCCAGGGGAGGTAGCGCAGCTTATTGTTGGCGACATTGAGTCCACGCAGGTTGGCTAATTTGGCGACGCCGGAAGGTAGCTCGGCCAGGTTATTGCTTCGGAGGCTGAGGACGGTGAGGTGCTCGAGGTCCCACAGTCGTGATGGCAGGACGCTGAGGGAGTTGTGTGAGAGGAAAAGCTTGATCTTTGGCGTGAAGGGCTCGAAGCAGTCGTCCGAGGGTGGCTTATCGTCAAACTTGGGACTCCGAATGACGGTGAAAAGTGGTTGAAGGTCTTCATCGGACAGAATTGTACGGCTCTCGAAAGACCAATCGAACATGTTCTTGTTGTCATCGTGGTCGCCGTCGTCGCTGTTCGGTCGGACACGAAGTGGTGGAGGGAAGTGACCAGGAGTTACATAGACAAACTCGGTTGAAATCGGACGTCCGCCATGCCTAGGAGGGTACCCTTCAAAGCCAGGGAAGCCAGGTGGAGGGCCAAGAGGGGGACCGTAGTAGCCAGGAGTGTACTCAGGAGTAGATTCGGGAGACTCAGACGAGGATCCAGGTCGCTGAGCCATGGCGAGAGAGATGCGCGATGTGAATGGCCTTGGACGAGTGACAGGCGAAGTGTTTGGAAGGTGACGAGAGGTGGATTGACCTGATCGAGTGATGAGCGAAGTGTTCGAAAGTCGACGAGAGGCAGATTGCTGTAGCCAGGTGACGGACGACGTGTGTGGAAGATGATTAGAGGTGAATAGATGTGGACAAGTGGCTGGTGAAGTGTGCGGAAGGTGAAGGGAGTGTGGAAGGTGACTGGAGTCGTTTGAAACAGTTTTAGTCTGGCGGGCGAAGTCAACAGAATCAAAGTCTTGGCACTCGTCGTCGTGCAGTGCTCCAGATGATGCCTCCGTAGACGATGGCTCCGTATCATCACTGTTCATCCATACTCCACTATCGAAATTCCTTTCCAAGCCCTCTGCTCTCGCACTTCTGCTGGCCGGTCTACGCGACTTCCCGTTCGCCTGCCGCCACCACGGGCCAGCATGCTTTTGTTTCTTGCGCTGACCTTCATAGTTCTCGAGGCCTGCAGCTTCGGGCTCATCGTCGCTGGAGAAAAGAGGAGGGTCACTCGAGGTGTGCGGGGCGTCGCTGATGTTTGAGTAGCCGCGTTTCTTTATGTGAGGGTGTGAGAATTGAGGTTGAAGGGCAGGATATGCTGGGAGCTGCGGAAGGCCGTCGTCTTCGAAGTCCTCGTCCATTGAGACGGAGATGGGAGCGTGGATAACTGAGGTTTGAAAAGGCGATGATGATGTTTGAAGGTCGCTGAAGACGCGTCGATGCGTGCAGCGGATACGAGGCTGAGGATACGAAAACGATGTAATGTCAAAAGAAAACTCCGACTGGTCAGAATTCACTGGCGCATTTCAGGGGTATTGACCGATACCCCTCAACCACAACACTCGCAATGACAAATTGGTGCTTCGAAAATCACGTCTAAAAGTCCTCAAATCGGCCTATAAGGCCGCAGATAGCTCAGGCCGCGTATACTGATTTGAAGCGCGGATGAAATCAGTTCGCCAAATCAGAGTAAAACAGCACGTGCCACGGTACTACAGCATCAAGTTCAACACCTTTCCATGATGTTCAGCCTCTAGAAGGTCCCCAAGGCCATCTATCAGCATGACATCTATACATAGGCCTTATTCAAAATCCCCAATTCTTTGCATCCTTCGGTCTCTCGGTTTCAATACGCCAGGGGCGTCTCAAAGTGCCACATACCCTCTCCAAAACCCCACCCCACTACCCCAGTTCACGCTTCCACATCACACCAACACGCTAGTCTAATTCACAGCCTTCAATCCTTTACATTCCAGGTTCCCTAGGTCTAATAGGCACAGGAGCGCCTGTCGGTGCTACAGACCCCCCAAAACGACTACTAGAGTGTATACAAGTCAGTGTGTGTCCTGTGTCCACAAATCCAGATGCATGTCATTTCCAGCACACACCAATCAAGAGTTTGAACGCATTACAACTGCACAACTTCATTCCGCTATATAGACTACCTCACAGCGGCGACGCTACTGGTAAAAACCCTCCCTACCCTACGTTGATTCACGGAGCTCCCCTGGCCCCTCCTCCTCTGTCTCCTCCCCCTCCTCCCCCTCCTCCCCACCCTCCGAATCGTCCTCGTCCTCGTCCTCGTCCTCCTCGCTCTCCGGCTCCTCCAGCTCGCCCTTGAGGGGCTCCAGGCCGTAATCGTCCTGGAAAAAGCTCAGCGGCTTAACCTGCGGTCTGAACCCCGCCTCCTTAAAGTTCTTCTCGAGGCCCTAAAAACACGAATTAGCACGCATCCTCTAACGCACAGCCCTCAAATCATCCACTTACCTCCTCCATAATGCTCGCCGCCGTCACCACCACATCCGCCTTCCCGGGCAAAAAGACCGGCAGCACGACCTCCTCCAACACGCGCTTGATCTCCGCCTCGCCCACCTCGCGCACCTTCCGCAGCATCTCCTCGCTGTACCCCTTGCCGACGCCCTTGATGACACTGTTGACGAACGAGACGGCCGCGGCGCTGCTCATGGTCGGCTGCTCGTCGACAAACTCGACGACGATGGAGCTGATGGCGCCCTCGAGCACGGGCTTCTCGAACGCGCGCTTGCCCGAGATGAAGTCTTCGACCACACCGCGGGCGGTGGCGTAGGCCTTCCAGGCGTCCGGGGAACGGTAGACGCGGAAGCGGAGCAGGCCCGTGTCGGTGCCGCGCGAGAAGCCGGTGCCGTACGCGAGGCCGGTGCCACGGACGGAGGTCCAGAGAGGGCCTTCGACGGTGTCGAGGTAGGCGGTGGCGACCATGAGGGCGGGGAGGTCCGGGTGGGTGTAGCTGTTCGGGCCTTTGGTGGTGGCGAGGAGGAAGGAGGAGTCGATGGTGGGCATGGGGACGATGAAGTTGAGCTGGCCCGGGTTGCGGCCGGCGATGCTGAGGACGTCGGCGCGAGAGTCGATGGGATTGAGATGCGGGACGTCCTGGATGGCGGCGACGAAGGGGTCGAAGGATGATGCAGGACCGTAGGGGAGGTTCTCGATATTAGCGACCACGAGTGCGCGCATGTTTGAAGAAGTGATGAGATTCTTGCGGAGATGGTGCATGTGGTCGAGGACCCAGTCTGGCATTTTTTTCAGACGGTATAGAACGCGCTTGAGATAGAGAGCTTTGACAAGCGTGTTTTGAGCACGGCCAGAGGACTTGGGATCGTAGTGGATCATGTTGTCGACGGCATATAGCATGTCGTTGCCGCTTCGCTTCTCGTCTGGGACATCTGCTAACAACTTCTTCACAGTCGTCCTCAGTCTCTCAAGGTCGAAATGGCCGTGGAGCAGCATGAGCTCGAGCCATTTGATCATAGTTTGATACTTCTCGGGTTCAACGACGAACTTTATTCGAAGCAACTCCGAGTTACCGATATTCGCTCCGGTTTCGATCTGGAAAGATACCGTGTCTTGCTCCAATTCAGTGACAATCTTCTCAAACGCAACCGTCTCACCATCACGCATGACAGGAGTGTTAAAGAAATTCGACAGAAACACTGGGAGCAGTGGTTTCATTTCCAGTGGCACACTCTGAGTATTTAGAACCAAGGAGAAGTGCACAAAATTGGTCGGAATGTGTTCGAAGTGGATGAAAAAGTTTGGGCTACCAGCATCCTTGTTGATGATATCTTGTATTTTGTTGCGTGGCATATCCAAACTCCTGTCATATCCGGATCGTGCGGTAATCGTCTCGAAGAAGTGGATCGAGTCGGTGCCAGGTATCTCGAACTGTTCCAGCACTTCTTTCGGCATAGGCTTGTCGTTCTCCGCCTTTGCGTGTTCCAACTTCTTAGCAAGATCTTTCAGTCCGTCTTCCCCAAACTTCTCCTGCTGCGCTTTGACTCTAGCCTTCTCGTCTGCTTTGAGTTGCTTCGAGAGCTCTGCCGACGGCTTGCCGAGAATCGAAACGTGGTGAGCATGCGAAAGCCAACGTCCCATGAAAATCCGCCATTGCTCATCCGTCCACTTTTCAAGCTCGTCATAGAGATTCAAGTTCGCGAGCGATGTATAGAGATCAGACCCGTCGCGGTTCCCAAACAGGTGGTCCTCAATGATGGGATCGGCGAAAACCTCGTTGGAAGACTCGGTGTGGAACATCACTCGTCGCTTGTACCGCCGCACACAGTCCTTCAAGTAAGGCATGTCAAGAGGCTTCGCTGAAGTTTCCTGTAAAACTTCAAAGAATCTCTGCTCGACCGCTTCAAGCTTCTCGGTAGCCACACTGCTCAAAATGAACCAAATGACTGTGTCTGGCCGATTGTCGACCTGATTGTACACGCCGCTAGCGACGGCCTCTTTCTCAACAAGGGTGTTGACAAGAACCGAAGCTGTCGAATCGGACAGGTATGAAAGCAATACATCCATCGCAGCTCCTACCAATCGTTAGTATTCCCAGCTTCTTAACAAGACATATACGTACCGGACATCATATCAGTGCCAGGGGGGCCAAAGAACGCTATCATGAGCTCGCCCATCGATTCGTCGTCCTCAGGGAACTCGACGGTATCGATGATTGTCTTTTTAAGTGCCTGAGGCTGCTTTGGCTCAACCCAGGGTCTCCTGAATGGCGCATCCGGGGGTGGTATCGCATCTAGAATGCTCTCCTCGAAGTCTTCGAGTATGTCAAGAAGCTGGGCGTGGTCGACCTCGCCGATCAAGACAAGTCTGAGGTTCTTAGGCTGATACATCTCGCGGTGGAAATCGCGAATGCGCTGGGCAGTGAGGACTCGCAGCTGCTCCATCATTCCTCCGGTTTCGTAGCGGAAGCCGACGCCTTCTGGATATAGAAGCCGACGCGCTTGGAGATCCATCAGTTCGCCTTGGTTATTCTGCACGCCTTGCATCTCCGAATAGACAACGCTATGCCCATGTTAGCAACTTGAGATTTTCGAAAATATGCAATTCGTCTTACCCAGCATCTTGTCCCTCTCCATCAATGTGATGGACCTCAGTATAGCAGCCCTCGTCAGTCAGCGTTGGGAGGATGACATGGTCTAAGTAGACCGGCACTTTGGCACGTATTAGCAGATTCTTTATGCCGAAAGAAAAGGCAGCGTCTTACAGATCTGGGCAAAGCCTTCCCAGCCAGCGGAATCCAAGGTGTATGCGGTATGATCAGTGGCTGTCCAAGCGTTCGTGTTCGAGTACGACCGAGTTGCGAGTCTATCCAGAACGCCTTTGTAGGGGTAACTCCGAGAACCCATGAAGCAGAGATGCTCTAGAGTGTGCGGCGCGCCAGAGTCGTCATGAATCTCAGTTGCGAGGGCGAAGTAGCCTTGGACCTTGGGTCCTTTGCGGTCGCAGACAGCCACTCGCATACCGGTACGCTCAGATTCATACTGGGTGAACTCAGCGAGCGTGTAGTCGGCCTTGAAACTCTGAATCTTCTTGAAATGGTTCTTCTTCGCTGAAGCTGCAGGCATGTTTGCTGGAGTGTCAACGAGGCGGACGTCGATGAAAAAGCACAAGGCCCAAAGGAGATGCTGGCGGCGAAGGAATAGTTAGTATGCGGAGAATGTAGTTTCGGAGTCCGCGTCCGAGCTGCTTGGGTATAATTGTGATGCGAGAAGAATGAAGCTGACGCTGGGACGCTTTTGTCTGTGGAGAAAGGCAAAATAGAGGCAAATTTGGAGATCGAGGCAGGAAAAGCGGGACGCAAGGCTTGGTGCTTCTTACCAGAGTGACTGCGAGGCGACCAGTAGGAGAGACTTGAAGGTCTATGAAAAGTAAGCAACCGAAACGGGGGTCACTGGATAGGTTAGCCAGAGTTGTGGAAGGCTTGATTGACCAAAAGCAGTGCGCGAAGCCAGCAGACGCATTCATAGACATACACTGTTCTCTAAGACCCTAGACTCGCCGCGAGTCGTGATTCGTGGCTTCGTGATGCAGAGGAAGTTTGGACGGCCTGGTGCAGACGACGCCGCGGGGAGGTGGGAGAGCTGCGCCGTGCCACCTATACTGCGGGAGGCACTATCCCCCTCCCGGAATACCGTAGAACACTACAACACCATAAATGCACTCGTTTTTGCTCAGCATATAAATCTAGAGCTTTGACCACCATTCCAGTGCTTCAATTCACCTACAAAAGGTAGCATCCTTTTTTCATGACGTACCGTGGGCGATTGTTGAATATGCGGTAGCAGGTGCGCCACCGACGCCTGACACGGCAGCATCACCAACTTGCCAACAACGCGTGAACTCACCTTCAATGACTATCCACAACCAACAATCGTTATGGCTTCTCAAATCTCCGATGAAGCCCTCGGGAGCGTCATCCTTCACTCTGTGACCTACAGCTCCTACCCCGATTCTGAAGATGTGGCCTCAGCAGAGCTCCCGCCCTCCGCTCTTCCCAATCTCCAAAAAGTTCTTGAAGAGGCCAGAGAGGATATAAAGGTGCAGACACACCCTCATCCGACCCGTAGTACTGCACAGTAGCTCACTTTCTGGCACAGAAAGACATCCGCGTCGTCAGTCGCGAAGCCGCCCCAGACATCGACGGATGGATTGCGCAAGCCAAGCAGCTGCAAGCCGACATCCAAGACTCCAAGGCCACCGCCCGCGCTATCGTACAAGCCGCCGAGGAAGGACAAAAAGAAGCTGCCAAGGCTCATGATGCTGGAGCTAAGGTGGTGCTACTGGAGAATGAGCTGGTGTTCAACGAGACTCTGGTCAATATCGTCGAGCAGATGAAGCACATCTCGGCCCAGGTGGAAGCCGCACAAGACGATGCCGTGCAAAGCCGAGTCTCACAGGCATTGGATAAGCTTGGGGAGATAGAAGAGGTCATGAAGAAGCTCGGAACATTTTCGGATACCAGAGTTGCTGGATTGCTGCAGAGCAAAGCCAACGTTTTACGACGAGCAATCACGGAGAACGCAACCGAGTGCTGGAACGCGTTGCTGGTCCCTGATCCAAGTGTAAGGAAGATTATAATCAAGGATAAAATCCAGAGTGCGCAGTCTGACCACCATTGTTTGAGTCCAGCTAATTTGTGGGTAGGAGAGACTCTCATAAGCATTGAAATGGTCGTGGAAGTCCTCAAGAAGCTCCGCCTCTTCGATACTGCTGTCGGCAGGTTCGCCATGGCCTTTGAAAGCATCATCATATCACCTCGTCTCTCAATCACCCGAGATCCGGGGGTCTTGGCGATCAAGATTGACGAGGATGACATCCAGGCTAAGGGAGGAGTCAAGTCAATGAGCGTGCACTCTGCGCTGGAAGACATTCATCGAATCGCCGAGTATCTGAGCACCCGACTACCCCCCTCAATCGCTGTCCCTCTGTCCGCAAAGCTAGTACCAGTAATTGCGACTAAACTTATCAACAATTGGCTAGTGCCTGCCGTCCCTCTACATCTGAAAGATATCCCAGCTTTCCAAGAAACACTCTCGCTTGTACTCGGACTAGCAGAATATCTCGACGAGCTGACCTGGTCCAGCCAATCCCAGCTGGTAGAATGGGTTGACAGTTCCGCCGAGCTATGGCTTGCGAAACGTAAAGAGGCCACGATTGCCGGGATTCGGCGCGTCTGTTTCAAGGGCGTTCTTACCACGCACACCGTGGAGCGGGTTGAAACCCAGATGGTGTCGAAGTCTGACGACATCATCACTGGCAATGAAGCGCAGGACGACGATTGGGGAGCAGATTGGGGCGAGGAGGACACCACCGCAGAAGAATCCAAGACAGCTGAGTCTGTCGACGAGGAAGATGTGAGTGCGTGGGGTGTCGATGATGACACTGAGGAGGAAACTCCCAAACCAGAATCCAAAGAAGCTTCTGAACCTGGAGAAGATGAAGCCGACGCGTGGGGATGGGACGATGAAGACGTCCAAGCTGCACCCACTGATGCCAGCCCAAAGCTAACGAAATCTTCAAAGGCCAACGGCGCATCGCAGCCGCAGCAACCAGTCTCCCGAGAAATCACACTGAAGGAGACCTACGTCGTAACCTCGATTCCAGATGCGATACTCGAAATCATCAACCAGGTCATGTCCGACGTCGATGCTCTCAGCCGACCACCGTAAGTTATCCTTCTCTTCTCCCAATGCAATGCTAATAATCCCAGCCTCTCCACCACCGCCATCGCCCCTGCTGGGCCAAATCTCTACGCCATGCCCTCCCTCGTCCTTGCCATGTACCGTGCGACCGCATCAACCCATTATCAAAACTTACCAGCCGGCAACATGCTCATCTACAACGACTGCATGCGCCTATCCTCCCGACTCACCAACCTCCTCACCTCTCTCCCTTCCCCTCCGAACCCAATAGGTCCCACCACTCCACCTCATCTCCATCCGACCTTGCTCTCCCCGCTCCGCCTGAGTATTGAAAGCTCAATAAAGAAAACCGACTCCCTCGCCCACCGCGCCTACGGCCGCGAAATGGAGGCACAGCGCACCATAGTGCGCGACCTCCTCGACGGCGCGCAGGGCTTTGGTAGCTGTACCGCTGCTCCCTTTGCAGGCGAATGCGCCAACGCCATTACAATGACTGTCGACCGCATCCGCGAAGTTGCCGCCATCTGGAAAATCGTCCTCAGCCGCAGCGTCCGCCTGCAATCGCTCGGCAGCCTGCTCTCCGCCGCCATCACGAAAGTCATCACCGAGATCGAGGAACTGCCCGATATACCAGAGGAAGAATCGCGCAAGCTGCGCGGGTTTTGCATGCAGTTGGGTGAGCTCTCGAGCTTGTTTATCGCGGATGACGAGGCGGCTTCTGGGACCGATGGGCAGGGGGATGCTCAGCAGAGAGATCTAACCTCCATCTATACACCCAATTGGTTCAAGTTTCAGTATCTCGCTGAGATCTTAGACGCGTCGCTCGCGGACATTAAATATTTCTGGCAAGAGGGCGAGCTGAGGCTGGAGATGGAGAAGGAAGAGGTTGTTGATCTAATCAAGGCGCTGTTTGCGGACTCGGAGCATCGCCGGAGAGCGATACAAGAAATCAGGCGGTAGACAGGAACGTCTTTGACGGGTAGATGGCGCTATTGAAGTAATGTATCAGGGTAGGGATGGGTAACGACACTTGTTCAGGCTATAAGGTTTGTGACATCTCGTCTAGCTGAATACGACCATTGATGGCATCATGAGGTTGGTTTTTACTCTTAACTCAAATCCAATTCTCATAACTCTTCTTCCAAAACTATTCGTAATATCTCGAGTCCTGGGTGTGTGTCCACCTTACCACTGTAACAGGTGCTTCAAAATGTTTCTCAAATTCTAAGCCAGGTGAGATGATGTTCGCGTGATGTGGAGCTCTACATGCTCTCCATGTATCCTCCCGTACGCCGGAGGACTTCTTGCAGCGTCTTAAGCATACCAAATGTATCCGACGACTTCTCAAGCGAAACCCAGGCAATAGCAACCGAATTCCCTAGCTAAGGCTAGCCAAGACCAGGCATGAAGACTTGCACCAAAACTCCACCAGAGACTACCCGAAGGTCCTCCGGTCTCATACCATGATGGCGCCGAACTCCCAGTACGCCATCCACCCCGCCTGACTCTCCCAGAGGTAAAGATGCCTAGTATGCCATCCATGCCTCAAGAATCCCCGAAATCTCGTACGGAGACGTTGAGTCACCGGGCTAAATAGCTCCCTGGCCTGATGCCGTCGAAGACTCCTATCCAGGGAAGGTAGACTGGGTTGGCGGACTTGTATACTAGAATGAAGATGGAAGTAAAATTGAATAGGGAAAGAAGGTGGGGCGGGGAGTTGGGAAGCATTCGCGTATCGAAGAACCTTATATCGTGTTTAGCATCTTAGGAGGGGGATGGGGGACCCCTTGCGGCGGTGAAATGGTACGCATGCATTCCAGGGCGATTCACGTGTCAATGAATGTGGCATGCTAATTACCAGAATAGTGATAGGTCAGAGGACTCCATGCAGTAGTAGTAGGGTAGCGGAAAAAACATTTTGGGTACCATTCGATCCACGCCTTAACACTCTGACATTACATCCCAGATCCTCTTAGGGGTTTCAAGCCACCACAGACGCCGAGAAGACGGTGCGAATAGCTAGCCGCTTATTCGATGTAGCGAAGACCTTGACGTCTTATCTTCGAAGATTTAACCCGGCCGGAGGATCTGATGCAGCCGTAGGAGGACGAAGGGACAAGCGTAAGACCGGTGCAATTTGAGCACCTCCGCTTTTCAACGGCCTACCCATGAGAAACTTCCCAGGCTAGAGAATCTCATGCAGCGGTATAATGGTGGCGAAAGGAACGATTCAGGCCCCATTCAATTCACACGCTTCCTTTTTTGACCTCTCGCTGCGCGTTTTTATGAGCATCCAAGACACTGTAGACGCCGACGAGACCGCGCTGACAGCTATTCCAAGTCGCTCATCCCCGGAAATAACGTTCTATCCACGATAGATTTCTCCGGCTGGAGACCTCATGCGGCGCTAAAAAGTTAGAAAGATGGGTGAATGAAATCGCGTTTACATCACGTGATGTCGAGGTATCCATCTACGTTCCTCCTTCAAATCGACACTACGAAGTTCGGACTACTTGGCTGGCTTTAGAGGGATTCCGAACGGCGCTGTCAAGATGCACGCACTCTCTGAATCACGACAATCTTCCAAATTCTACAAACCAAGCTGGAGGACTTCATGGGGGCCATCGCGGAGTAGACACGCGCTTCGACTCAGCGCTACAGAATGCACTTTTCCTGTGGTGCATTCGAGCACTTCAATCTATCAAGTGCCGCCGAAGAAGGCCGCGTCAAAACCGCCCCAAGAAACCGCCAATGCCACCAAAACGAAAGTTGGACTACTTTAGAGGATCTTTGGAGTAGAAGGAAGGCTATACTAATCCAACTCCATTCGGGAAGCTACCATATAAATCAGAGCATTCCGTCAAACGCTCCAGCCCAAAAAGCAGGGAAATGCTACCAGTATTGCCGGAAACCCATATGTGCACGTTCCACACCAAGACGTCCAAGAAGCTCAGCGCATCTCCGACCGACCTCGGCCGCCCGATCATCACGTCGACGGCTACCGCGGCATGGGGGCGTGACGTAGAGATCCGTTGTCTCGACAGTGAAAATCAAGATTTCGTCGTCCTCGCTCCTTGCTAGGAAGGCGCCCGTTCTGCCTTTCGAAAAGATCTAGTAGCTGAAGCTCTGCGCAGCAGGCCCGGGTTTCTCTCGCTCATCTTGCTCGGTGTCTTCGAAAATCTAAGAAGGAATCAAGCCGAGTCTTGAAGGGTTCTATGCGGTAGTGTAACCAGCTAGACGGGTAGCTGTCCGACTAACGCATCACGGAAAACAACCTACGAGAATTTCAGCAGGCTGGAAGACTTCCTACATGGGTAGGACGCTGGAAAAACGAGGGAACAAGCTCCTACACGATTCGCGCATTAAGGACCTTAACGTCGTCTTCGCGGAAATCATACCGTGTTGGAGGATTCTTCGCGGTGGTGGCATGGTAGAGGTAGCTGCTTATGCAATCTACAAGGGATGTAACTTGACATCCCATCTCTAATTTCTATCAGGATTCAAGAGAACACGTGCAACGACAACAGGATAGAAGATGAGCGAATGAGACCCTACTCGATCCACATAGCAAGGAACTTTACGTCCCTTTATAGAAGTTGACTTGAGCCGAACGGCTCTATGCAGCGGCGTGATAGCGTAAATTATTGGCTATGCGATCTTCGAGGTACGTAACTTCACTATCCCGTCTTCATTTTCCATGAGGGTTTGAGGACATCTCGTGCAGTGGTAGGATAATGGAAACGTAGGCAAATAGACTGCATCCAATATATACAGAATCGCGCTTTACATCCTCTTCACAAAAAGATTCGTACGCTGAAGGACTTCATGCAACGGTAAGAATGTGTAGACACCTAGTTATGCGATACACAAGGCGTAGAACTGTACATCCTATACACAGAAATAACCCCGTGCTGGAGAACCTCGTGCAACGCTAAGAATGTATTGATATCTAGCCTTCTTGTATACGCATTAACGTAAGTAACATCCTAGACCAGAGACCCTCTTGCAGTGCTAACATTATACCAATAGCTAGCCTTCTAATTCACTCATCAACAGAAATAGCATTTTACTCTTAACGAACTTGATAGGCTGAGGGACATTATGCAGCGGTGTAATAGTGTAGACAGCAGCTCTCCAATCTAAGCAACAAGGAACATTACATTTCATCCACGAATATTTCCACGCTAGACACACTAGCAGGGGCATCCGAAGCACTAGCAGAATCGGGCTCCGGGACACTCGGCTAATACAGTACTATCTCAGTATGCCCCAGGGAAGGCAGACTGTTGTTTATAACTGCAACCATTTCCCCTGAGACCTTTTACGTGGAACTGCCTTGCCCGCTACGTGGTGCTCTCTAATTGGATAGATTTATGACCGAACTTTAAATTTCACAATGTGCGCGGGCAAAGGACGTGCACCTCCAGGCTGGGGGCTGAGTACCTGTTCTCTTTCCCTCATAAGGGCGCATCACCCCCGCCTTCCTACTTAACCACGTCGAATGATGATGTGTTTCTTCGACCTCTTGACGAATTTGTGGCTTCGGCTCAATTTTGGAACGCATCCAAAACTATCCCATGCAGGAGAACGAACTTGCCTACATCCCCCAGCACCCACCGGTCAACTTTTTAGTATCGATGACATCAACTACGTCGTCCGACCAACCAACCGTGTAAGAGATGTGCGAGACTTAGCGGAAGGCTGCGGCTAATGTGCGAAAAGCCCTTCACAGGGCGTTTAGGCAACCAAACCGCGCTCCTAACCGTCTTTGCTGTGACGCCTGGCGACGTTGTCGATACCGCATCATTGCGGGCAAGAATTGCCCAATATACCGAGACCGACGACGTGTTCCATCCAAGATTTCTCGCGGGCATCATCTTCCAAGGCGCCGAGAAGTCCCAGCTTCACGTCAAGCTGGAACCGACCGACGCTTTTCGAGAATGGGGCCTCGAGTGGATGCACTTTCAGTCGTCCGCGAAGGACTCGGCTCCGCTGCCGCCGGGTCCATACATGGTGCGAGATGGCGAGTTGTTCCAGGTGTGGAGGCTCTACAGCGATAACAACTTGGCTTTCATTCAGTCGGTTTGGCCTACAATCGGCTCATCAGGGTATGTTCAGCTTCGTTTGTGGATTGAGCTGTGCTGACTAATTCTAGCGAATATACACAAGTTTCTTTCGCCGGGAATGGATACCGTACCTTAGCTATCGCAACACCCTCTCGGTTATATACATCGTGGCCAGAACGACTGCCTTTGGACGGCGTGCGAATTGGAATCAAGGATCTTTATCATCTGAAGGGGCTCCGAACTTCACTTTGCAACCGTGCCTTCAATGAACTGTACCCACCACAATCCACCACTGCCAAGACCATCGTACATCTCATATCGAAGGGTGTTCAAGTTGTTGGCAAAAATCACCTTAGCTCTTTCGCGTTAGAAGAACACCCTACACAGAGCATTGACTATGAGTCGCCCTTCAACCCCCGTGCGGACGGTTATCAGATTACAGGTGGAAGCAGTAGCGGAAGCGCGTCAGCTGTCGCATCCTATGATTGGTTAGATTTTGCGATCGCTACTGATGGTAAGCACCTTCCTCGGCGTTCTCAACAAGAAATCTTATACTGGAAGCGTACGGATACCAGCTCTTTGGAATGGATGTTTTGGGCTGCGACCGTCAACAAATGCCATATCTACGGAGGGCGTTGTTTCTGTATATCCCGGATTCGATACACCAGGACTCCTCGGACGAGATCTGGAGAAATTTCACCATTTTGTATCCGTATGGTATGGACAAGAGACGGGAAACACGCCCATTTCAGCTCCCAAGCTATTGATTCCCACAGACTTCTTCACGGGAATAAATTCAGACCAATCCAGACTCATCAATAACTTCGTCAAAGATCTCGAGAGGAGTTCAGGCACGGTCGCAGAACGTCGCTCTATCGCTGAAACTTGGTCACATTCGGCACCGGTAGACGAGCCTGATCTCAGCGTGTATCTTCAAAATGTTCGTTGGTCACCCTTGTATCTTTCGCTAACGTCGCTGAATGTGAGAACAGGCAACACTTTGCAGCTTCTATTATACTGCCTTCCATGTCTTTGATGATTTTCGAACGTCTTACGAAAAGGAATTCGGTCGAAAGCCTTTCGTAACGGAGACGAATCGATGGCTCTGGTAAGAGTGCTCTCAATGTTGTCCATCTGCTGCTAACTCATGCATTAGGAAGCTCGGCGAACAAGTTTCCCGAGAGCAGTATGAAGATATGAATCGTAGACTATCGATTTTCAAACAGTGGTTCCTGAAACACTACATGAAGGCTGGTGAACAGAATTCGATCTTGGTACTCCCTCTCTCCGATGTGAAGCCCAACTACCGTGACGTCTATCCTGGAGCCAATAGTACACCACGTACTGGGCTGCGACCGACGTACCTCAGTGCTTATCTTGGAGCGCCAGAGCTCGCCCTACCGAGTTGGTCGATCCCATTTCATATAGGATACTCCTCGCACTGACACTTCTATAGTTGGGCACATCGAGTACATGTCGAGAATTTCAGGAAATGCCGAGTCTCTGCCAGTTGCTGTTTCTTTGATGGGCCCGCCTGGTACTGACCTAGCTCTCATTCAGCTGACGGTCGATTCACTGAAACAAGCGAATCGCCCTACGACAGTTCGTGCTGGGACTGCGAGAATGTGGGATCATACCGATTCGAATAATTCCATTCAAGCATAAGGAGACTGAAAACACGCCCTACGAACAGATTCATATAGTACTGGGCAATACCCACTCAAGTTAGACAGTACGTTGTATGCCGGTCTGCCGTCAGTTTTGAAACCGTGTCCCGGGCCTCCGTCTGCGTAGAAATCAGCATCTGCGGCGGCAAAAGCATGTAGACAACACCAACCTAATTCACCCATGGATAGAAATAACATCCTACTCTCGAGAAACGTGATAGGCCGGAGGACGTCATGCAGTGCTAAGATCGCACAGACAGCATGCTATCTGATTCATTTATCAACGGATATGACATTCTATTCACGAGAATTTAACAAGGCCAGAGGACTCTATGCGGCGGTAAGATCGTGTAGACTATACAGTTCCTAATTCACCTCTTAATAGAAATAACATCGTACATTCAGAAAAACGTGATACGCTAGAGGACCTCGTGCGGTCGCAAGAGGGTAGAAAAAGGAGTGAATAATGGGGCGTCCGATTCAAGTATGGACGGAATTGACGTCCTATTCATAAGAATCGGACCAGGCTAGAGGACCTCGTGCGGTGGCAAGAAGCTGGAAAGATAGGAGACTAAGGGCATGTACGAATCATGTACGGACGGAAATGACGTCGCATTCACTAGGAATATAAGAGGTTAGGGGCCCTCATACGACGACAAGAAGCTGGAAAGATAGGAGAATAAGAGCATGTACAGATCACGTATATACGGAAATAACATCCTATTCCTGTAAAACATAACACGTCAAAGGACTTCGTGCAGCGGCAGGAGAGTGGGAAAGGGATCAAATAAGACGGTAGGCAATTCATTCATCGACGGAAATGACATCCTACCCTTGAGAAACGGAAGAGGCTAGGAGACCTCATGCGGCGGCAACATAGTGGAAAGATAGGAAAACAAGGGTATGTCTAATATATATACCAACAGAAATGACATCCCATTCTCGAGAAACACAATAGGCCGGAAGACCTCCTACGGCGGCAAGAGGGTAGGAAAGCGGATGAATGGGGTGGCTAAATCACGTGATATCGCGTTTCAAAATCCTATCTCAAATCTTCCAACTCAACACCACGCGTTTGCAGTCTCGTAGAACCTATCGAGGAACCTCAAACAGTGTTGCCACGTTGTACGCACTTTGAACATACTATACCGGTTCAAAGTTCTGAAAATAGATCGAAGGACTTCATGCAGCGCTATCACGGTGTACGCACTCCAATTGGACACCACACGCGTTTCTAGTTTCTTAGAACCTATCGAGAGACTTCAAACAGCGCTATCACGATGTACGCACTTGCGATTGAAACCACGCCTGTTTCCGATTCTGAAAGTAGGCCGGAGGACCTCAAACGGCGCCATCACGATGTACGCACTTCAATTCATTACCGCACGGACTCGAATATCTCGAGACTAGGTAGGGGACTTCAAGAGATACCATCGTGGAGTAGATACTTTCAGATACGCAGGATCGAACCTTGAAGGCACGCTGAAGGACTTCATGCAGCGCCATCGTGTTGTACACACTTTTCGCGGTTTAAATTCCTGAAAGTACGCCAAAGGACCTCGAACAGCGGCGTAGAAATATACACAGTTTACACTGCGAATACTTATCTTAAAATTATAGAAATACGCTGGAGGACCTCAAACACCGTCGTCACGGTGTACAAACTTGTAATGATGTTCATGCTAGGTTTCCGGTCCCAAAAATGTGCTGGGGGACCTCGAACAGCGGCGTAGAAATATACACACTTTACACCGCAAATACTCATTTCAAAAATTCCCAAAAGCACGTTGCAGGACTTCCAACACCACCATCCCCTTATACCCACTTCTCACATTTCAAATGCCCAAAAGCACGTTGCAGGACCTCCAACACCACCATCCCCTTATACCCACTTCTCACATTTCAAATGCCCAAAAGCACATCGCAGGACCTCAAACACTGCCATCCCAGCATCCACAGCACCAAAACTCGCAGTTTTCTAGCTGTTTTTAGTGCATTGAAGCTCTAATAACACCGTTAAAAACCCCATAACGTGCTAAAAATACTACAACACTTTAAGAATGGGCGCCACTAATAGCACACCCCTTTTTCACTAATCGCACACCCCCCCTCTTGGCGCTTCACCGCCTTCCTATTGGCTCGGATTACGGCTCCGGAGCCTCCGGGCATTCACCTATACATCACGTGACGCTATACGCGAGGCTGCACGAATCGGCAAGGCTGCACGCCGATTTGTATAGCCTCGCCGATTTGTATAGCCTCACGTACGAGCTCACGTACGAGC